ATTTTTCAGTTCTCCTCCCCATTCAAAACCCCATTTTTTGAAGAAAAGCGGCTTTTCGACAGTGCGTGTGGAGGGGGGTTCGCTGAAAAAAGCCACATCTAAACTACTTTGACATCCTCTTTCGAATCTTCCCCGTAGTCTAGAAAGCCCTATGGGTTGGATCCGGATGGCTTGACTCACTCCAGCCCATGAGGCTCTGTGCTCCTCAGTTCTCCTCCCCATTCAAAACCCCATTTTTTGAAGAAAAGCGGCTTTTCGACAGTGCGTGTGGAGGGGGGTTCGCTGAAAAAAGCCACATCTAAACTACTTTGACATCCTCTTTCGAATCTTCCCCGTAGTCTAGAAAGCCCTATGGGTTGGATCCGGATGGCTTGACTCACTCCAGCCCATGAGGCTCTGTGCTCCCCTCACAGTGGGGAGCAGCTGCTGGCACTCCAGCCTTGTGGGGAGGGAATGTGGGGGAGCCACAGGACTGGAGCATCAGCACCAGCTCTCCAAGGCAGGGGAGCCTTGAGCCTTCGGGGCCGGATCCAGGCAGGCCGGGAGGCATTTGTCTAAAAGTTTTCATTTAGGAATTACTTTGGGGCAGTTCTCTGGCCTCTAGATTAGATGATCACAGTGAACCTTTCTGGCCTTGGAATCTAAATCCTGGAAATGGAGCTGCTTATAGGACCCTTTCCAGGTTGTCGCTCCCGCCTGTCTGTACCATCTATAATGCACGAGGAGCAGCTCATCTCTTTTCCCAGGCATTTGTTTAAGAGGTGTGAAGTTGTGGTGTTATTAACAGAGGAATATTTTAAACCTCTGTATCTGGACACCTTAGCGCTAATAATGATGTGAAGCTAGTATCCATCAGTGTTCCCTGTAAGCTGAGCACTTGGGAATGATTCAAATGTCTCTTACCTGATTAGCATGTGTGTTTCTACTGGTGGTGCACATCTGCACATGCCTCAGTGCACGTAGCAAAATGTATTCCACATGTGGATGGAAAAAAATTAGTGGGAACACTAGTGTCCACCCTGTCCAAATTCTAAATTGCAGATGCCTTGGGGCAGGGCTGTTACATGGCTGATTGTTTTGTAAGTGTGACCGTAAGACACCCCAATTGGAGAACAGCGAGTCTAACCCTGAAGCGTGTAGACAGCTGAATGAATTGGTTGTATGCAAGGTTGCTGTGTATGAAAATACATGAAAAGATCTTTTATGAGAACTATAATGTTCGGAACTTGATCGTCGTCATGGCGTATGCAGAGTCTGGTTAGTAGGCATAAAATGATGCTCATAATTTGTGCTTCTGTATTCAGCTCCACTTCACAACTCTCCGGTCATCTGAAGAACTGGGCTGTACCCACAAATGCTCATGATACCATCTACATGTTTTGATTGTCTTTAAAGTGCTGCCAGACTGTTTGTTATTTTTTAAGTTTTTCCTGTTACAGACGAACTCTGCTACCCCTCTGAAGCTTTTGTACATGTGGTCAGCCGGGGGAGGGGAGAAGGAGGTGTCTCCCTAGGCAGATGAGCCTAGCTCCAAGCAACCTAGCATTGGATAACCCAGGAAGAGACAAATGGATGGCCAATAGGGTTAATGGGAAAACATTATGCTAGAATTTCTTTACCCTAAGTTACTCGGAGTCACCCTGCCAGGCTGGGAGGATGGGGGCGGGGAGGGAAGGGAAGGAATACTGGGACTTGAGCTCTGAATACCAGAGGGAAACTGCTCTAAGAGGACAGATAACTTATCTTAGACTTATTCCCTTTTCTGGTATGCATGTAAATCCTGAAGCTGACTCTTAGTTTATTATTTTGTGTAATTTCCAGTATTTCCTTACTATTTCATCTTTGAACCTGTGATTTTTATATTTAAGCTTTTAGTTAAGTTTTAGCTCAAACAGGTCTGTGGCAGGTGTGCCAACATGAGCAGGAGTCTGAGGGGGCTTGTGTTGTGCCTTGGGTGAGGGATGAGCCAGAAGTTGGCGTGTCTGATAGTTCCGAACTCAGGAAGGGCAGACTGGGGAGACTTGGGAGCAGCAGCGCTGGTGGCATCGCCCCGCAAGGAGTAAGTGGGCTGGTGAGAGCTTGGGAGAAGGGGTTGGGTAGAGCAGGGGCAGGAAGAGGGTTAACCCAGGCCCCACATCCTCCTAGGGGCGGCCCTGGTGATGGAAGCCCATACTGCTCAGGGTGATCCTTGGAGGAAGGCTCCTATCCCACCTTCGGGTGATAATCACTGGTAAAAGCACCTAGAGCTGTTAGGAGTAGGTGCATGAAAGAGGAGTAAACAGAGTAGAATTCTGGGCCCGGTGAGAGGCCTGCTCTCATTCCTTCCAGTTTATAACCTCAAGTAATGGATGCACAGCTTGGTGCTAGGGATGTTAAAAGACAGTTAATTAGGGAGCTGTGTAACTGCTGACAATCTTAGCAGTTACACGGCCACACACTATGGACTCTGCGGTATAAAGCTCATAGTGCTGAGTCCACAGTGCAGACAGCTCCCTGGGAGCGGGGCTGGAAGCCAGGGCATGCCAAGAGCTTAATACTTTATACGTTTTATACTGCAGAGCCTGCAGCACGGGCTGGCAGCCGGCTCCCCCCATCTGCTGGCTCCCAGCTGTTGCCATGCACTGTATCAGAGGCAGCAGCATGGGGTGGCAGCTGGCTCCCTGGGAGCTGCTGTGTGTGGGGAGCAGGCTTTTAAGCTAGCTCCCAGCCCCACTCCCAGATACCAGCCCTGCTCCCAAGGAGCTGGC